TTATGACTTTTCTTCTTATTTTCTGACTTGTGTCACAAGTAACTACCTTAAGTTTATTAGAAACTACACTATAGCCCATCCTAGAAGGTTCTATGCCCATTACAATCCCTATTCTATCCTTACCCCCCTTCAAAAATTACCAAATCTGATGAAAGTACCCTTTTCCCATGCCTAAAGTACCCTTTGAACCTCCTAAAATTACTGAGCTAAACCAGACCATCCTAAACTAAAAACCTTACAATTCTAAACACTGACTTAAGGCATTACTAATGACAACTGACTAAACGGGATTAGCTGACCAGATTAACTCAAACAAGAACAAAATTACAACCAACAAATCCTAACAAAATTGATCAAGATGACTAATGAATCATAAACTAAGCACTTAACAGGGCAGATTCAGAACGAAAAGAAATTAAAACTAAAACCTAAAGTTTAACTGAACAAGATTAAATTGAACCAACCAAATTAAACTAAATCTAAACAAGAACAAGATGAAAATATACACATAGTCAAAGACAGGATCAACTTACTGATCATTTGACTGACTATGGGACGAACTCCGACTGGCCATTTGTTGTTTGAATCCACCGGGATTCTTGACACGTAACATCCCTAATCGTGTGTTTTCAAAAGAACACACATGATTAGGGAAATTACGGTCTAAAATCCCCAAGATTTTCTGAGCTAGGGTTCTGCCGGAATTGAGATTTAAAATCTGTAATGTTCCGGGCCAATTCGAAGGTTTCTAGGTGTGGCTTAATGACGAGGGATGGATGAGGGACATATGGTACGAATTTAGGCCAGTTTGGGTGAGTTAGGGTTTTCACCGGATTTGTGATCTGAAATTTGAGAGGCTGGGTTGGGATTTGAGGGATGGGATTTGGGGATTTGGGAAGAGGAGGGGACGGGGATTCAATGGTGTAGCTTTAGGTCCGTTTGGCATAACCGGGGACTTGGCCAGAAAATTTTGTCGGGATATTCGACGAGCTCCGGCGAGATTCGAGGGAAACTAAGGGCAGGGATGGAAAGAGGGGAGCAAGGAAGACCGATGGTGTAATTTTGGAGGTCATCGGAGTATCGCCGCCGGCGGCGACGATTTCCGGCCGGCGGCGGACGGCGGAGGGACGGTGGGGCTAGGGCGGAGGAGGGTGGTAGTAACGCCGGCGTTACTGGGGAGGTACGAGGAAGATGAAAGAATGTTTTTAGGTTTTGGGTTAATTTCGGACAGTTTTATGGGATTTGAGACTTAGTTCTCATCCGTTGGATCTTGAAGGATCAACGGATGAGATTCACCTGGGCAGAACGGTGTCGTTTTGAATGGGGTTGCTGGACCGGGTTACAGGGGACGGGTATGGACCGGCCTGGATTGGGGATTTCATTTGGGCTGACTGATTTTGGCCCAAATCTGGTCTCCAATTAAGGCCATTTTTTAATTTTTCTTTTTCCCCTTTTTTTTGTATTTTTGTATTTATTTATTTTTTCTGATTTTATAAAATGCTAAAACAAAGCAAAGACCTAATTACACTATTTAACTCCTAAAATTATTTATAATTCTATTTAAAGACAAATGCAATAATTAGCAATGCAAAGAACTATTTTCTTGCAATTTTCTTTACATTTTATTCTAAAACTAATTAACACTAAAATTGTGAAATTAAATCCCTAAATGCCAATGCATATTTTTGGTAATTTTCATACGGATTAAAAATGTCACAAATAAAAANTGGGATTCGAAAGAGGATAATGGCATATTCGTGACGAGGACATCAAGGCGGTATAGGGATGTGAATCTGGGAGCCATCGGAGAAAGTGACAGTTTCTCCGGCGGCGGCGTTGGTGGCGTTACAAGGGTGAGTACGAGGAAGAAGCAGATGTCTCTAGGGTTAGGATTATTTTCAGACCATTTTAACTAATAATGAGATGGCACCAGGGCCGTTAGATTAAAGGGGATGAAGGGCCAGGATTGATCAACGCCAAAACGGCATCGTTTCGGGGAGTCGTTGAACCGGACTGGGTCAGGGAAATGGGTTGGGCTGGGTCCGTTTGATGTTTATTTGGGCTGAGGTTTGGTTAAATTGAAATGAGCCCAATTTTGGTCTCTTATTAAGACCACCCTTTTGTAATTTTTTTCCTTTTTTCCTTTATCTATTTTTTGTATATATTTTTTTGTATTTATTTATTTTTCTGATTTTATAAAATGCTAAAACAAAGTGAACACCTAATTACACTATTTAACTCCTAAAATTACTTGTAACTCTATTTAAAAACAAATGCAATAATTAGTAATGCAATAAACTATTTTCTTGCAATTTTCTTTATATTTTATTCTAAAACTAATTAATACTAAAATTGTAAAATTAAATCCCTAAATGCCAATGCATATTTTTTGGTATTTTCATATGGATTAAAATGCACAAATAAAAATACAACAATTACCAAAGAATGCCACAAAATTCACAAAAATTTATAAAATACTAGAAAAATTGTTTTGTTTGAAATTTTGGGAATTATTCATATATAGGGCAAAAATCACGTGCTCACACCTATTAAGGCTCGCGTCTTTAAATGATCTTTGCTAGATGTCACTCTTTTATTGATCCGCGTGTCTTGACATGTCAGCACTTAATTAATTCCCAATGTTAACTCGATTTTCCCCAATACATATATATTTGTCTTCATTAATTTTCTAACTTAATTAGTAAAATCATATGCTGTTCAATTATGTTTAACATAGGGATAAATTACAGATTAATAATTACTACTCCATCTTATATTACTTAGGTTTAATTTTTGAGAAATTTTCATAAAGCACTATCTTTTAGTGGTAATTAGCTATCTATAGATACCATTTGCTATATTACGGATTGTAAATACGTTTTCTGTTGTTATGAGATGTATTAGATGTATTTAAGCTACTGTATTCATGAATACAGTAGCAAAAATAGGCGTGAATCAGGGAAGTCCAACTAATCAGTTGTTGTATTCGAGTGTATTCGACTGTATTCATGGCGTGAAACATGGGATTACAACTGGACAGATTATTGTATTCGACTGTATTCAGCGTGAAACAGGGGATTACACTGTTTTTAAACGGAAAGTAAATCAATTAACATAATAGACTCCTAATATAACTCAACAAACTCAATTATAACACACAAAATTTGTATTTCCAATTATAAAAAAGATTCTCAACCGAAAAATACCCCAAAAATATAGCAATCTTCATAGAAATTATATAATACATCTGAATACATAAATTATATTAATTAAAAAAATATATGAATACATTCATGGCATATAGAGAGACAGTGAATACAATGAAAATACATAGAATACAACGGGATACATTGAAATACAATGGAAAAAAAGACAGTGAATAGAATGAAATACATGGAATACAGCGAGATACATTGAATTACAATGAAAAAAAGACAATGAATACAATAAAATACATGAAAATACAGCGTGATACGTTGAAAATACATTGAAATATATTAACAGAAAATTAAGTTGCTCAGCCCCAAACTCCGTCGTCTTTGTTCAAGAACAAACCCTAATTTCCGGCGAATCCACCGTCGAGCAAAAACCCTGAATCTCACTGTTCCCACGCATCCTGTACAATAGCCGAGCAAAAATCATGGCAAGACAGTAATGACTTCTGGTGGCAGAATAGGGACTCTGTTAAAACTTGAATCTTGTATTGAAGATGACGGAAATTGAGAAAGGTTCGTGGGTTTGCTGTGTTGTGCACGCCGATCGGAGGCTTCATCTCCTTTGGATTCAATTTCGGTTGCAGAAATTACTAACACTGCTTTTGAACCGTCGTCTATGATGGTCAAGTGCGACCCACGTCATGGGAAGTAGATGGCCTGTTGTTTGATGTACAGAGGTGATGTTGTGCCTAAGGATGTGAATGATGTTGTTGCCATAATCAAGACAAAGAGAAAGTCAGAGAAGTCTTCGTGGTATACCAGGCAAAATCACCGTTTGTGACTAATGGTAGGTGATGTGGGTGAGAGAAATTTTGAGATTGCGCATCGTGTTTTCAGGGAACAGGGAAAGAGAATGGCATGTATCAAAGTAGAGAGAGAAAGAAAATAGCGTAAGTGAATAGCGTATTTAGTGGCTTAGGGGTAGGAGGTAACCAAAATTAGATATTTTGCTATAAACATTAAAAGGTATCTATAGAATATAATTTTTTTAAATGGTATTTATTTAAAATAAATAAGGTGTTAAGCTTTGCTATAGGAGGTAAAAATTCCTTAATTTTTTAACGGAAAAGCTCCAAATATGCCCCTGTAGTATACGAAATTGAGCATGTTTACCCTTCGTTAATACTTTAGCACATATATGCCCTTACCGTCACATAGTTGGTCCATATATGCCCTTATACTACACGAAATTGAGCACATTTGCTCTTTGTTAATACTTTAGTCTATATATGCCCTTGATGTCAGATAATTGGTCCATATATGCCCTTTTTCGAAACAGAATCCACCCAAACTATTTAGCTCTTTCGTTAATTGTACTAAAGTGCATTACAAACACTATTTCCTTTTTATTAGTACTTTTTTTTCTTTACCTTTCTCTTTTCTCTTTTCTCGAAAAATGGCATATATGGACCAACTATATGACATCGAGGGCATATATAGGCTAAAGTCTTAACGAAGGGCAAATATTCTCAATTCGTATAGTATAAGGGCATATATGGACCAACTATATGACGGTAAGGGCATATATATGCTAAAGTATAAACGAATGACAAATGTACTAAATTTCATATAGTACAAGGACATATTTGGACCTTATCCCATTTTTTAATAGTTCACAACATCCACGGGTCTACGCTACTCGTACACCAGTTCAAAAATTATTTTGGAAAATGCATGTCCCAAGTCCCAACAGTGATTGAAATTGGCACCCCAGAAAATGACAAAACAAAAAAAGAAGCCCCCCTTCCCCCCCCCCCCCCCCCCCCCCCGCCGCGCGAAGAATAGCTGATTAGCATAATCATTGAATCGAATCAAATTCCCCAATTTCGCCAGAGTAGAATCAATGTCTTCACGCGATAGCAAGAAGCCCTCCAGGCAAACGTCGGGAAGCCGTGCCGGCGGCATTCGTACACTTTCCGATCTGAATCGTCCTTCTGGTCGCGATGATTCTGATAGCGATTCCGATGGCCCCCAAGAATACTACACCGGTGGTGAAAAAAGGCATCAATTCCTCAAACCCTAGTTTCCGTTATAATTATTTTTCCTTCCTTAATTGATCAATCAGTTATGAATTTTACACTTTTATTGCCATTGTCGGACTACTATTTGTAACTTTCACGAGTCTTAATCCAAATTCTGTTTGTTTACTTTTCAATAACTTGTGTTGAGTTGAACATTATTGTTACATGTTTGCAAGTATAATTAGGAATGATGTGTTAGAGTTTGCTCAAAGTGATAGAGTATATTTTATGTGAATTGAATTTTTGCTATGTTAGACTCAGCAAAAAGCATTTTCTTTTACCTTTTTTTGGTGCACTTTGCAAATTTGTTTTTGTTAGCAGGTACTATAGGGAGAAAATGTTTGATTTTTAGTTGTAGGTAGCACTGACTGTTTTGTGCTAGTGCTAAGCTGGTGGGCTTGTGGTCCATTGTTGTCTTATATTTTGAGAATGATTTTCTTGATCATGTGTTTATAGAGAACAGAGTGTTCCCTAGGAAGTACGGTGGTGGAAGTGGGGTAGGTTATGGTTGTAGGGAGGGGGGAGAATCTTCGGGTTAAAATGGAGCAGATTGGATAGTGATGATTTATATGGCCAACCTCAACTAGCTTGAGATTTAGGTGTTTTTGTAGTGGCTAAAAGGTATTTTTATTGTTTGGAATGAGAAGAAATGATTGTGACAAAAGGGGTTGTGGGATGAAGGCGATAAGTTGATGCTGAGTGCAGTGGGCTTGGGGTTTATGTTAAGACCTGCAATCGTATATTGCTAATACTCTGATTCTAGGAATCACAAGGTTTTTTCTCTATAGCCTTTTTTATTCTTACCTTCCTTGGTGCTCCTTTCGTTTTCTGTTTTTTCTTCTTTTTCGGCCATTCGAGCTATAATTTTTATATCAATCTTGTAACTCGATGAGGTCAGACTACAAACTTATTTCAACTTGTTATTTACATATATCTTCAATCTTTTCCTTATTTTTAGGTTGTGTATATGACAAGTATATAATTTGGACATCCTATGCAGTGTCTTGTAGAGCGAGAAGTGGGAAAAAGCGAGGAGGCCTCGCTTCACCGAAGCGAGAAGCGAAGCGCGCGCTTTTTACATGTGAAGCGCAATTTAACCATAAATAAATAAAAATTAAATAGGCATAGATAAATGACCAAGAACTCAGTAAAAACAACATATTAAGCAAATGTTTCAATTCTTAAATCAAGAAGTAAATAATAGATTCTAAAAAGATACATTGCATTTTTGTGCTACTGCCAATTGCGACTCCATACGCCCAAGCTGGATCTTTTTTTTGGCTTGATGCCAGAATAATAAGATTGATTTACTACAATCAACAACCAAAAAAAAAATGCAGAACTGTTAAAAAATGGCATAACAGTGAACAGAGAAAACAGAGCACATAGTGAACAGTAGAAAATAGAAAAAAAGGAGAAGAGAAAACAGGGCAGAACAAGAACAGAGAAATAAGAACTGAAAAAATAGAAAGAAGAAGAAAAAGAGAAGAAGAGAAACTCACCTGAAGAGCAGAAGTCAAAGGCAGTCGTCGCTTGCAGCAGAGAAGCAGATGTTTTGAAGAAGTGTGCGTAACAACTGATGTTTGGAAGAAGCAATTTTTTTTAAAAAAAATCCTAGTCAACCGCTGGAATCGCTTAAGCGAGCTTTTGTCGCTTTTTTCATCGCCTCGCTTCTCACTTTTTAAGGTGAAGCGTGCGCTTATTTACCTGTGTCGCGCTTTAGGGCAGAAAAGCGTAGCCCCCTCGCCTCGCTTCTGCGCTTTAAGCGAGAAGCGTGCGCTTTTAATAACACTATTCCCATGAGCAGTCTTTTTTTTCTTTTTTTCTTTTTTGGAGAAGTCTATAAGCAAGTTTTTTCTTTTTTTCTCATCTCAAAAAATGCATGTCAATTTGTTTGTTATTATACCTATATTTTTTGGCTGTATCTTGATTTCTACTATTCAGCTTGAATGTTATTCTTATCTCGATCTAAGGTAGCTTTTGAGCACGTCATATGTGTTCTTGCTAAATGTGTCGCAACTCGTGATTCTAACAACTAAGTAATGTTTGTTTGTCCCTTGTATCCATGAAGCATCTTCTGTCTTTTTTGCTATTTTGTGCACATTGAAGATTTGATATATAAAACTGTGAAGGGAAGATAGAGAGGCCAGCATGTTTCTGATGCATAACTGTATCCCTGATTCTAGCTATGATTATGCTTGTAGTGGAATGCTTGTTCAAGATCCTTCAAAGCATAATGATGTGGACTCCATCTTTGACCGAGCTAGGCAAGTGGGTGCCACGCAAGGTCCTCTGGAAAATGTCGTCCCTAGTTCAAGCTCAACAAGCTTTACTGGAACTGGGAGAACACTTGCAGGGGAGACAGTTCCAACATCAGCTCCTCAACCGCCTGAGTCCGTTGTACACAATATTATCTTCTGGAGAAATGGTTTCACTGTAAATGATGGCCCTTTGAGAAGGCTGGATGATCCTGAAAATGCATCTTTTCTTGAGGTAACTGTAGTGAGAACTAAAATAAAAATTCATGAAAAGGAACAAACATCGTGGGTCGCACGATCCTATTAGATAGTGAGTAGTCAGCGTGTATTTCAGCTTTACAAATTCTCATGCTGCTAATATTAGTTGTCCTTTCTTATCATACAATTTCTACCCTTCTATTATCAGGAGAGTAGGGGCATGACATCTGCAGATGGCTTTTGTTAAACTCCCCATTTGGGGTAAATGCCCGGAGTTAGCCATAGCTAGATTTTCCTTTAAGACCATGCTCTTAAGCTCGCATTTCATATTGTTCATCTGTTTCATATGCAAATTAGCCACTTCGTTTTTTCTGAATATTTTGCACAGTGTTTTTTATGCTAAAATGTTTTCAGTTTTGGATAATTTTGGGTTCTTAATGTACTGGTGCTTCATTTGCAGAGTATCACAAAGTCTGAATGTCCAAGAGAGTTGGCTCCTGCAGATACTAGGTCCCAGGTGCACTGCAACCTCATAAGGAGGGACGAGAACTGTCCTGTGAGTATTGCATGTTCAGTCCACCGTTTTTCTCGTTTTTATCTCCTCTGACACACCGAATATGGAAAAGGGGATATAAAAAGGAAGAGGAACAAGCTAAGTAACTCATATCATTGGCCATAGTACGTTAGGTTTTTAGTGGATGTGTACTCTATTGTATGTGATAGGAAAAAAACATGACAACTAATCTATTTGGAGAGTCTTTATTTCTCCCCCTTACCCTAGATACCCGTGAGATTTCGTCCTTTTTGAGCAGCAGGCGTCTAAAACGGCAAAATCCCTTCTCTGATATTGACCGCAAAAGAATTTTTTTTAAAAAAAGTCAATAAACGTGTCATTCAACAGTTGACACAAACCTTAACCATGATTTCTTTTCCGGCGCACTTGCAGGAACCAGAGAAACGCCAAGTACCATTTCAGGGAGTGGGAAGAACACTTGGAAGCAGCTCACTTCCAGCAACCTCCGAGCCATCTGCTTCGGTTCCCATAAGCACTGCCTCGGCACCTACAAGCGTTCTGGACGATTCATTGCCGTCAACCTCGCTTCAAATTAGATTAGCTGATGGAACCCGCATGGTTACACACTTCAATTTCCAGCAGACTGTTGGTGATATCCGTGCCTTCGTTGATGCTTCAAGGCCAAGTGACACCAGGTCCTATCAACTGCAAACGGTTGGATTTCCTCCTAGAATCCTCAGTGACCCAACACAAACAATTGAGCAAGCAGGACTGGCGAATTCAGTGGTTATACAAAAATTTTGATGAGCTGCAAAATCATTTTCTTTTTATTTCTTAATTCCGTACTGCTGGCAGGACATATGTTATACGTTTACGGCTGGATATTATTTTTGATCTTTGTGAATCTAATGTTCATCTGAATGAAGATAGCAGTGGTTTTTTGTTTAGAATGTGTGTGCATTCTTTAATGGGATGTTGTACCTTCTCGGTCTACTACTCTGTCATATGGTATTTTGTTCATCTCGTGTAAGAACAATTGTGGTGTGGAAAGTAAGTATAATGGTTTTTATACGATTGGAGCATTTAAGAAGAATTCCCAGTATATGGTTTATGTTGACTTGATGCGTGGTTGGAAATTGACACGCTGTGTGTAGGCTTCATGAGATCTTAAGATGAATTTTGTGGTTTGCTAAATGCATTGGTTAACTGTTGTATTTGGTATGAAAGTTGAACTGAATGAAAAATTTTACACGAGAGCAGCAAAAATTTCAATGATGCAGACAAGATCATAGAAGCCATTGAAATTTCTTAAACTTTAGTTTAAGCATTTGATTATAATTTATGTCTTGTATTTTTTGAATTTCTTAGAATTTTGTCGTACAATTGTGTGTATTTCATCAATTTCATAATTTTATCTGCATTTTGTTTTATATCTATTTAATAAATTGCGAAATTTGGGAGGTGTCGTACCTCAAAGCTAACACTGGCGTCCCTTTGTTCAAGGCCGGCTCTACAGTTATACATAGTAAGGCTTGTGCCATAGGTCCCCAAATTAGGGGGGGTGGGGTGGGTGCATTTTTTAAAATAATAGGTTTATAGATATTTAAAAAAATATTTAGTACTTTTAATACAAAAGTATAGTTTTTAATATAAATATTAATATAAACTCTTTAGATATATAAATAAAGTAATGAATTACTTAAAATGGGTAGATGAAAAGTTTTTCCAACATTTGAATTTTGTACTTTTACTCCTTCATTAGATAAAGTGTCAAAATTTTACTCTCCCTTCGTAATTTGTTCAAACCAATTTTTTTTTCCCCAATCTCTTCATAGAAACCCCTACATATTTTCTTTCTTTCTCTTTAATATTCTTATTCACCTTCTTTCTCCAAGATTTCATTACTCACCTTCTTTCTCCAAGATTTGATTAGTTCAAGTGTTCAACAATACTTTTAAGCTTCCAATAGTTCTATACTTCTATTGCTCTATAAAATCTTATCTAAGATCAACAATATCTCAAAAAAGATTAAATGAGTTAGTTATATTATCAATTGAAAAGAAATTATTAGAGAAAATCGATTATAAAAAAATAATTATTAACAACTCTGTATCNTTAATATACAATTCTTCAACATATGGCTACAAAGCCGTTCATATTATGTCAAATCGAAGTCAAACCAGGTGGACGCTAAAGTCAACACTATATTGACACTACAGATCAACGGCGGAACACTCCTAGCATAAATTCAAAAATAAAAAAGTAAAATGATTAACAAAAAACGAAACTAATCTCTGATTTTTTTTTAAAAAAGGGATTCGAGCCGTCAATGAACTAATTAGTCTGTACTTCAACATGACAAAAAAAAACGAATCTACGAAAAAAATGAGCAATAAAACAGCAACATAAACATCTTAGTTAAATAGTCAAAGATCTAAAAACTCAAAAATCACAACAGAGCAAAGCAAATTCAACATTAACACTAGAAAACAAACTAAACGAAGTATAAAAATGAATAGGAAAATCGCACCGCAGCAGAAGAAAGATAAAAATACTCACAGATCTGAGAGAAAATTTTCGGCAAGGACAACTTCACCGGAGGGGCGAATCAATCGGCGATCACTACAGAGATTGTACAAAGTGTATAATTTCCGCGCTGCTGCGAGAACAAAGCGTCCGAGAAATCGTGAGTCTGTGCAGAAAATCGCCGAGGAAATGAAGAGCTGAAAGATGAAGAAATAGCTTTATGCGGATATATATATATATATTGTTAGTACTACTATTGAAGATTACTGAATAGTAATGGAGTAGTATATTAGGAAATTGTACTCTTTATGTGTAAACATTATTAGTAAAATAGAAATAAAATTGCTATTTTAAGTGACTAAATTAATGGTAAGTAAGATGAGATTAAAAAGAAATGGAGATTGGGGATAGTGACTCTGTAGCGCATGATAGCGATGGGTCGTTTTAGCAGTCGCAAAATGGTTAAACCAAATACTTATTAATCCATATTATCCATTAAAAAATAAATTGAATAATTAATATTTTAAAAAATATATCAAATATGAATAAGAATCATATTATCTACTTTGAAAATGGATAACCAATTGATAACTAATGGGTTTAAGTTTTATATTTGTAAAACCTCAAATTGGTGGTTTATCAAGTTTAGCAGACTAGGAATTCTCCTAAAATTGATCATATTCAAGAAGCCATGGATATAGAGTCTGCTCCAGTATTATGGAAGGTAAGGCTTGTGCTTTAGGCCCCCAAATTTTAGAGGCCCATTTATAAAAATAATAGGTTTATAAATATTTGAAAATATAATATTTAGTACTTTTAATATAAAAGTAGAGTTTTTAATATAAAAAGAAAGAAAACTTTTTTGATATATAAATAAAGTAATAACTTAACTTACTTAAAATGAGCAGATGAATAGATTTCCTAACGTTTTAATTTTTCACTTTTTACTTATTCATTAGATAACGTGTAAAAATTTTACTCTCTTCCTTAATTTGTCCAAGTCAATCTTTCTTATTTCCAATCTCTTCATATTTCAGAAACCGCTGTATATTTTCTATTTTTCTCTTTGATATTATTACTTACCTTCTTTCTACAAGATGTCATTAGTTCAAGTGTTCAACAATACCTTAAGCTTCCAATAGTTCTATACTTCTATTGCTCTATAAAATCTTATCTAAGATCAACAATATCTCAAAAAAGATTAAATGAGTTAGTTATATTATCAATTGAAAAGAAATTATTAGAGAAAATCGATTATAAAAAAATAATTATTAACAACTCTGTATCTCAAAAAGTTAGAAGAATACACTTCATATAAAAACATATCTTATAACTTTCTTTTAAAAATTTAGGCCTCATATTAAACTTTGACATTAGGCCCCGCATGTGCTTGAGCCGCCACTGCTTTGTTGAGCATAATACAGTAATGTCTCGCCCCAAACAGCATTGCCTTCCCTTCAAAATACTGCTTATTAACCTAGGCTAGTCTTGGGGGTAGTTTGGTAGGAGGTATTAGAAAAAATAATGCAAGCATTAGCTCTGTGCATTACTAATACATTGTTTGATATATTTTTTCAACTTGTGTATAATTAATGCTTGTATTAGTTATACATCATACTTGGTATTATCCTATGTATAAGTAATGCATAGAAAATCATGACATTAGTAATATCGGGGCTATTAATGCATGTATTAGTATGGTTAAAGACAAAATTGTCCGTAAAGTCCCTTAAAGCTAGAGAATATGGAGGGCATTTTTGTAAAAAATTATTTTTCTTAAAAATTATGCAATGCATTACAATTTTTAATACCCACACCAAACAGTAGATAAGAAATAATATCTGCATAACTAATGCTTGCATTACTAACCCCTGTATTACTAATACACCTTATTTCGTATTATTCTTATACACCCTACCAAACGACCCGTCAGAGTTGGAATCTAGTAGTGCCTGGTTTAAATTCCACTTCATAAGCATCAATAGGTTGGACCCATGTGGAACTATGGACTATTTGAAGGGGCCTCACAAAGCTAAATCTGTCTATGGGCTGACAGAGGGAAACTTGGGATAAAATTCACAAATAGCCACTTTTCAGCCCCCATAATTGAAAAATAGCCACGTCATGAAGTTCCATAGTTCACATGTAAAATTTCAAAATATTGGATTTTTTTATTACAGGGTTGAAAAGTGACTAGCCGTGCTATTGCTATTCATATTAATTGTGTGTGGTTTGGAATGAACAATTAGATATTGACTAAGTCGAACACCATTAATTGGCATCTTTGTTTTAGGTCCGCAATAAATAGAAGCATTTGATTTTTATCCGTTGGCTTTATAATCATTTACATGATGGTCATTTTTGTAAAATTCAAGTAAGGGTAAATGTCCATTGTCTACAATCTATACATCGTACGTCTGTGAATAACATGGACAAACAACGAGTTATTGCGAGAATGGTCAAATTTATTGCTAGAAGTCGCTCTCCTTCAGCCAACCTCTTTGATGCCCACTATTGTCTGTGTAAGTCCAGTCACTACCAAACTCGTCCAAATAGAAGCCAAGAACATTATATTTACTCCCTCCGTTCTAATTAATGTAAACATGCTTGACTTGGACACAAAGTTTAAGAAAAAATAAAAAAATTGAAATTTGTGGTCCTAAACAAGTCAAAAAGGGGTTTAGAGTATTTGTGTGGTTACAAAAACTTATCATTAAGGGTAGAATTGGAAGTTTAAGCTAAATTATTTCCAATTTTAGAAAGGAGACATTTTTTTTGAATGGGCCAAAAAGAAAATAGGTTCACATAGAACGGAGGGAGTATATAAGTTTACTTGGCATACAGACGGCAATACAACAATAACTACCACAAAAACCTCAGTTTATTTTCACAAGTGAGGCCTGAGTAGGGTAGCGTGTATGCAGACCTTGCCACTACCTTTAAAAAGATAGAGACATTGTTTATAGTAAAGATAAAAGGGGCAATGACAAGCAAACCAATCAGAAAACTAAGCGAAAACACAAAACTAACACTAGGTAGTGGAATTAGAAAACAAAAGTGAAGGCAAAAACAAGTAATGACAAAACTCTAGAAAGACGAAAATACACGAAATACACTAAGTGGTGTACCCAAGTTGTTGTAACAAATACAGACAAAGCTCAACTACCTAATCGGCCTTTACCCTCATTCTCAACTCCCACACTTTCCTATCCATGGTCATGTCCTCAGTAAGTTGGAGCGACGTCATATCTTGCCTAATCACCTCTCCTCAATACTTTTTCGCCCTGCCCCTACCTCTCCGTTGGCTCTCCAAGGCCAACCTCTCACACTTCCTCACTGGTGCATCTGTGCCTCTCCTTTTCACATGGCCGAACCATCTTAGCCTCGCCTCCTGCATCTTGTCCTCCATAAAAGTCATACTCACCTTATCCTGGATAACTTATTTTCTGATTTTGTCTAACTTGGTATGCTTGCACATCCATCTCAACATCCTTATCTCAGTCACCTTCATCTTCTGGACATGGGAATTTTTGACTGGCCAACACTCCGCCCCATACAACATATTCG